ATCTAGAAACAATAAATGCTGGAGAGGGTGTGGAGAAAAGGGAACACTCTTGCACTGCTGGTGGGAATGTGAATTGGTACAGCCACTATGGAGAACAGTATGGAGGTTCCTTAAAAAACTACAAATAGAACTACCATATGACCCAGCAATCCCACTACTGGGCATATACCCTGAGAAAACCATAATTCAAAAAGAGTCATGTACCAAAATGTTCATTGCAGCTCTATTTACAATAGCCCAGAGATGGAAGCAACCTAAGTGTCCATCATCGGATGAATGGATAAAGAAGATGTGGCACATATATACAATGGAATATTACTCAGCCATGAAAAGAAACGAAATTGAGCTATTTGTAATGAGGTGGATGGACCTAGAGTCTGTCATACAGAGTGAAGTAAGTCAGAAAGAGAAAGACAAATACCGTATGCTAACACATATATATATGGAATTTAAGAAAAATAAATGTCATGAAGAACCTAGGGGTAAGACAGGAATAAAGACACAGACCTACAAGAGAATGGACTTGAGGATATGGGGAGGGGGAAGGGTAAGCTGTGACAAAGTGAGAGAGTGGCGTGGACATATATAGACTACCAAACGTAAAATAGCTAGTGGGAAGCAGCCGCATAGTACAGGGAGATCAGCTCCGTGTTTTGTGACCGCCTGGAGGGGTGGGATATGGAGGGTGGGAGGGAGGGAGACGCAAGAGGGAAGAGATATGGGAACATATGTATATGTATAACTGATTCACTTTATTATAAAGCAGAAACTTACACACCATTGTAAACCAATTATATTCCAATAAAGATTTAAAAAAAAATTCTTTATGGAGGTTACATTTTAGTGACAAATAGATAAATGCCTATGATGTTTTTACCCCTTTTTTTGGAAAGAATTTTATTGAAGTATAATTGGCATACAGCAGATACACAAACACGTACATACATAGATACCCTAGAAACACCACCACAATCAAGATAATGTATATATTCATCATTTTCAAAAGTTTCCTGGTACCCCTTTGTAATCTTCCTCTCTTGTCATTTCCCTGATCCCTTTCTACATCCCAGGGAACCAGCTACTAATCTGCTTTCTATCTATATACATTAGTTTAAATGTTCTTGAATTTTATGTAACAATCATACAGTAGATTCTCTTTTCTGGTCTTGCTTCTTTCACTCCACATAATGATTTTGAGATTTCTTCATGTTGTTTTGGTCTCTCCTTTATTCCTTTTAGATAGGTGTACCTTGTAGAGATACTACATTTTGTTTATACATTCACCTATTGATGGATATTTGCATTATTTCCAGTTTTGGGCTATTATAAGCAATGCTGCTATGAACATTTATGTATGTCTTTGTGTGAACATATGCTTTCATTTGTCTTGGGTAAACCTGTACATGTGGAATGACTGGGTCATATGGTAAATGTAACTTAAAAAGTGTAACTTTTTAAGAAAATGCCAAACTGTCCTCCTAAGTGGTTTTACCATTTATGTTCCCACCAGCAATGTATGAGTTGCTCCATACCCTTGCTACCATTTATTATTATCAGACTTTCAAAATTTTAGGTACTAATAGGTGTGTGGTTAGTTCATTATTATTTTAGTTTTTTCCCTAATTACTAATACATGTAACTTTTTTCATTTGCTGATTTGTCTTCTTTAATGAAGTCTCTGTTCAAACATTTGCTCATTTTTATTGGATTTTTTTAAATATTGGATTTTGAGAGTTCTTTATATGTTTTGTGTTATGGAATGCATGTTTGTGCCCCTCCCCCTCATTCATACATTGAAACCCTCATCACCAATGTGATGGTATTTGACAATGGGACCTTTGGGAGTGATTAGGTCACCAAGGTGGAGCTCTTATAATGGGATTAGTGCCCTCAGTAAAAAGAGACAGGGGAGAGCTTATTTCTCTTTCTTTTCTCTACCCTGTGAGATTACAACAAGAAGATAGCTGACTGCAAGCTAGGAAGAGGGCCCTCACCAAGAACCGAAATCTTAGACACATAGGAGGTTTGGACTTCCATAGGACTGTGAGAAATAAGTGTTTATTCTTTGCTTAAAGAATGGCTTCATCTATATGTGTTAATATACAATATTTGTTTTTCTCCTTCTGGCTTACTTCACTCTGTATAATAGATTCTACCATGCATAAAATAGATAGCTAGTGGGAACATGCTATAAAGCGTTGGAAGCTCAGCTCCGTGCTCTGTGACGACCTAGAATGGTTGGGAGGGAGGCCCAAGAGGGAGGGCATAGGTATACATATAGCTGATTCATTTCATTGTACAGCAGAAACTAACACAACACTGTAAAGCAATTATACTCCAATTTAAAAAAGAAATTAAGACAGATTAAAAAAAACAAAACACAAAAAATGAAAAAAAAGAATGGCTTCACCTAATCCATGTTAATTTGTTATAGCAACCTGAGCAGAATAAGACATTTTGATACAAGTCCTTTGTTAGATAATATGATTTGGAAACATTTTCTCCCATTCTCTTGGTCGTCATTCTCTAAACTGATTTTTGAAGAGCAGTTCTTAATTCTGAGGAAGTCTGATTTATATGATGGCAATGTAATGCCATGCTTTCTTTCTGGAATGTGGGTGTGTTGTGGTAATACCGATTTTTATTAGTTTCTATTAATTTGGTTAATATGTTTCTATGATATATCATTTTTATTTTTCCTGTATAAGCATCATCAATTAGGAAATTTAATGAATTATTTCAAAGACAGTAGATTTTCTTTGTCACTAGTGTTCCTTCAGTATCTAGTATCCTCAGGAGACATAAATAGTGTAAGTAATTCTAATCTCACCTGAGAAATATAGAAATTAGGAAGATTTGGCCTCTGTATATAGTATTTTGTGGCCCATGGTACTGAAGCAGCCATTATGTCTTTATATGTTCTGTTCATCTCTATATCAAAAACAGTAGTTAGCACAGAGAATAACTCGTTTTCAGTAGAATCAAATGGGACCTAACAGTTTTGTTATAATCATTAAGAAGATTCAGATTCACTTATTTTGACTTGCTGTAAGTTATAGAAGTACTCTAAGAAGCTTTATTTCAGATTTACTGTATACATGTAAACCAGCACAGATCTGGGGAACCTGGAGAGTTGATTTCTAGGCAATAAAGATTCTGAGTTTAATTGCATTTTAGTATTTTTAAATGGTTTTGCCAGCATCAGTGCATTTGTTATGTGATTTTTCAGAAAGGAGTTGAAATCCTCTGACCCAGATTCTGATTGTTTCTGATTTGTAGCTGAACTAAGTGGGAAAGTTAGGTCTATCTTAAGAAAGAAAAAAAAATTAAGTAATGCAGTATTTCCCTCAGAACTATTTCTAATACAGATTGAATTATTTTATGTAGATTAAATGATAGAAAAGAGCTGGCTTCATCCTAGTCACCAATACTCATTACCAAAAAAAAAGCAGTAGTTGATTAAAGTAAAAGACCTACATGTTGGCCTTTTAAGATGTTCTGAGCAATCCAGAGAGAATATTTAATTCACACCTTTTTGTAAGACTTTTTATAGTAAAATTCCACTTGGTTCTGTCTATGTTATAAACATCTCACCTTCTTTCTTCCTTTTAAATCCTATCTATGTTATAAACATCTCATCATTTTTCTTCCTTTTAAATCCGTAAACGAGTTATAAGAACTGATTCATTATAAAAATTATATACTCACTATTTGTTCTTAATAGATGTGTATTTCTGAGTTTCCTGTTTTTCTGTTTTCTTAATTATAAATTATAAATTTCTATAAATAGAAACCATGACTTACTACTGCCTTTGTAACCTTTCTTGGTGTCTAATAAACTGCTCTGTACAAAGGCTACTCAGGAATTGTTGTTGAGTTGCTGTGATAGTGAAATTGTTTGCAAAGTCAGTTTCCCGAGCTAGCTGAGGGTTATTCCATGAGTTTGGAGGAACAAAGAAGACAGCAGAATCTATAATAGTGTCACCTCATCCTTCTGCCTGTGTTAATACCTAGAAAGTTTATTTTAAACAACTTGGAAATTTTATAGCCAGTCCATCATTAATTTTGAGTAAGATGTTGTAACAAGGTGCCAATCTATAATAGCTTATCATTTCCAAAGATTTAATCACCATACACTCCTAATAACTGGAAATGAACCTCAACTTTTTGACATTACCACCAGAATACTTTTAGAGCACCTCATAAACCATGTTAAAGTCTGAAATATTAACTCAGATTTAATACTAAACTTTAGGGAATAAAACTGTTTTAATGGCTCAATGCTACTTGGGAACTCCTGCAAAAAAGTATTATCCTAACCATTAATTTACTTAACTTGTGTTTTTTGCCTTGGTTTTTGAAGAATTAAATTTAGGCTATTCATACCTGAGATGCAATCAGAATATTCAATTTCGAGTGGTTTGAGATCTGTGTTAAATTCACACTGCCACCAGGGAACTATAATTCTTAATTAGAGGTGACTTTTGATTGACTCATGAGTAATGAGAAGTAAAAGAATTATTGAAGTTAAGTACAGTAAGCTAAGTACAGTGAACTTTCCTCCCAAATTTTAGGGGACCTAATAGCATTCTTTATTTAAAAGTGCTCATGATTTCCTTTATTGGGAGAGATTCCTTTTTAAGTACAGAGACAGAGAGCTGAGTTACTTTAAATGTTCAGAGCAACTAAATTTTTTTCAGAGAATAGACTTCTTATATGTGAATTAAATTTTACATAGACATTATCAAGCAAACTTTACTTTGAATTTGGCTGCTTAGTCGTAATTTTCGTCTTGGCAAATTGTTGTTTTGAAGTTATTTTGACGTGTTAAATATAAAAAATTAGTAAAGGCCACACATGAACTTTTGAGAGAATAATGTAAATAATATATTATTTTAGATAATTGTTACCCATATGGCTAAACTTATAATGTTCATACATTCATTCAGTGAATTACAGTAAACTATGCTGAGTGATTTTTTTTTTTTTTTTTTTTTTAGACTCTTCCTAAGCAGATTCAGTTATGGAGTCCTTGGTTAAATTAAGCTGACCTAAATGGAGTGTTCCTTCAGGCAGCAGCTGTCATATTGTGATGTGTGCAGTGCTAGTGCGGCCTCCATGCCTGCCACAATGCCTGACTTACCATCAGAGAATAATAATAGAGATAAACAGATTAATAAGAGAGATTAGTAGAGATTAATTTAGTGATATATGTTACTACCTGTTAACATGAAATCACTATGGGAAGACTAACTATTGACTATTGACTATTATCAAAACATTGACTATTATCAAAACATTCCTAACATATTGGGACAGCAATCTTGTATCCTAGAATTTCAAGGATTGTCCTAATTTCACATATTCGTGCTATTGACTATTATCAAAGCATTGACTATTATCAAAACATTCCTAACATATTGGGACAGCAACCTTGTATCCTAGAATTTCCAGGATTGTCCTAATTTCACATATTCGTGCTTTAGTGTCAGTATGTATTTAAGTGCACCTATCCCAATTTTGAGACTTCTTGCACTTTCCCAAGCCTTTTCTCCAATTTCTTAATAGCTTCTTTCTCCATTTCTGATGATTCTAATTCAAAGTACTTTCTTCCTATGTTTAAAATGGCTCCTATATCTTAACATCTGAAAAATATTCCTAAGATAATTAGAAGAATATCTAATTTAGAATAAAATGTGCAATGTGAACTATAGGAAAAGAACTTGCCACAGTGATATTCACTTTCAAAAGTAATAGGAGACATTAATCTTACTTACAGAACTTCAAGAAGTAGAGAGCAACCTGGGTTCTAATTTTCTGATCTGCTATGTATTATATCATTTATTTAATATTTCATTTTTATTCCCTATTTCATAAAATGATAGAGTAACTAGAAAACACATAAGATACATTTAGGAAGAGCCAGAAAATGGGGTAATTGACCCTTTCATTTAGTTGATTCAGATTTCTTAAATAAAATGGCATTAGAGTCAAGATTTTCATTAAAGTAAAATTTTAAGTTTGAAACCTCTTAAATTTGAAGAAAGCATGTTTGAATGAACCAATTTAAACATTTCTAAATAGTCCGTTGGCTTTTTCTTTTAAAAAAAAACCTCAACGATAAAGCATAGGCCATATATATTTTTTTAATGCTACAAGTTAGAAATCAGAAATACTAAATAAAATTGTGTTACACTTCGTGTATTACACTTGTCTAACACTTAGAAATTAAATTCAAGATGCTTTTTGGTTTAGAAAGCTTTACAATGTCAAAAATTAAGAAAAATTTAAAAAATCTAATAGATGGAAAAACATTCAAAAGGCTTTGTTTTGGATAAAGTAGTCAAGATCCCAGTTTATCCTTGGGTGAATTAACCTTAGTCATTTGACCTAGAGCCACTAAGTTATTCCATTTTTTTATGAGTATGGGACTCTGTCACCCAGTCTGCCTTTGCAATTTGTCAGATGAATTTCCATAGTTACCAACCTACTATAGTACAAATTTCCTGTTCCTGGACATGATAGTAGACATAGTTAGCACTCTCTTTCCCCAGAGACATGCTGTCGCCACTGGTTAAGTTTAGTTGTGGCATGATTCCAGATTTATTTTGTTGATTCTTTGGCACATGTTGTCAAACCAAGATGTTTGTCCCCTCAATTTTATGTACTCTGTTTGCTTTACTGATGTTTGCTTAATTAGGAATATGTGCAGGGCAAGCAATTAGCCTATTGTTGACTCATTGTTTTTTAATGTATTGCTTGCTATTTGGGAATCTGACTCTGAAAAGATATAAGCCCCAAAGTGATATACGTGTTTCCTTGGGCGTATAAATTAAGAAGTTAATCTTATAATTCAGACTAAACAGTATTTTATTACTGAGGAATTAGTAAGACTTGTTGGGGGAAAAGACTTATCCACTCTGTGGTACTTTGGTTTGAATCATTGGTGCTGCCTTAACAAATATTTTTCAAAAATCATTAGGCTTGTTATCATTCCCATATTTATAAAAATGCACAACTCACTTTCTTTACCTTTGTGTGCTGATTACTAGCAAATATGTATGTAATATATTCAGGATCACCTCTTATGATGACCTCCTGTATGTCTATTTTTTTTTTATTCTTCAATTTGTTAATATGGTGTATCACATTGATTGATTTGCATATATTGAAGAATCCTTGCATCCCTGGGATAAATCCCATTTGATCATGGTGTATGATACTTTTTTTTTTAATTCAAACAGAAAGTCACAAAAATTATAATCATCCTCATCAGTTCACTCAGTCCCATGTAATTAATTTCTTTTTCATCTTGATCTTTTGTTAGCACTTTTATGAATTCATCAGTTTTCCATTAGAGTTCTGAAAATGCTTATTCATTCAGTTCAGCAGTATAGTCAGTTACCAGAAACCTGTACTTGTCAGAGCCTTTTCCATGAATTCTTTGAAGATGAAACCCTTTTATAGGAACATTTTTGCAAAAGCATCAGAGTCCACCCAGAACTGTCTGTAAATGACAAAAGACGTAAAAATGACCACGGTTAAAGATTTGATGAAAGTTCATAGTAATGCAATTGACAAGGAAATTTAGTTAGTTCTGAGATATACATTTTATAGTAATAACTAGAATTATGACTTATAACATTATACCAGAACATATAACATTTTTAGAAATTTCATGTAATGTCTGAAACATTTATATTAACATATTTCCATACAAATAACCCAAAGAAAGTTAAGTATTAGTTGATTTTTTTGTTTGTTTGTTTGCTTTTTTATACTGCAGGGATTGCATTGAATCCGTAGATTGCTTTGGGTAATATAGTCATTTTCACAATATTGATTCTTCCAATCCAAGAACATGGTATATCTCTCCATCTGTTGGTGTCATCTTTAATTTCTTTCATCAGTGTCTTATAGTTTTCTGCATAGAGGTCTTTTGTCTCCCTAGGTAGGTTTATTCCTAGGTATTTTATTCTTTTTGTTGCAGTGGTAAATGGGAGTGTTTCCATAATTTCTCTTACAGATTTTTCATCATTAGTGTATAGGGATGCAAGAGATTTCTGTGCATTAATTTTGTATCCTGCAACTTTACCAAATTCATTGATTAGTAGTTTTCTGGTGGCATTTTTAGGATTCTCTATGTATAGTGTCATGTCATCTGCAGTGACAGTTTTACTTCTTCTTTTCCAATTTGTATTCCCTTTATTTCTTTTCCTTCTCTGATTGCCGTGGCTAGGACTTCCAAAACTATGTTGAATAATAGTGGTGAGAGTGGACATGCTTATCTCGTTCCTGATCTTAGAGGAAATGCTTTCAGTTTTTCACCATTGAGAATAATGTTTGCTGTGGCTTTGTCGTATATGGCCTTTATTATGTGGAGGTAGGTTCCCTCTATGCCCACTTGCTGCAGAGTTTTTATCATAAATCGTTGTTGAATTTTGTCAAAAGCTTTTTCTGCATCTATTGAGGTGATCATATGGTTTTTATTCTTCAATTTGTTAATATGGTGTATCACACTAATTGATTTGCATATATTGAAGAATCCTTGCATCCCTGGGATAAATTCCACTTGATCATGGTGTATGATCATTTTAATGTGTTGTTGGATTCTTTTTTTTTTTTACATCTTTACTGGAGTATAATTGCTTTACAATGGTGTGTTAGTTTCTGCTTTATAACAAAGTGAATCAGCTATACATATACATATGTTCGCATATCTCTTCCCTCTTGCATCTCCCTCCCTCCAACCCTCCCTATCCCACGACTCTAGGTGGTCACAAAGCAGCGAGGTGATCTCCCTGTGCTATGCGGCTGCTTCCCACTAGCTATCTATTTTACGTTTGGTAGTGTATATATGTCCATGCCACTCTCTCGCTTTGTCACAGCTTACCCTTCCCCCTCCCCATATTGTTGTTGGATTCTGTTTGCTAGTATTTTGTTGAGGATTTTTGCATCTATATTCATCAGTGATATTGGTCTGTAATTTTCTTTTTTTGTAGTATCTTTGTCTGGTTTTGGTATCAGGGTGATGGTGACCTCATAGAATGAGTTTGGGAGTGTTCGTTCCTCTGCAATTTTTTGGAAGAGTTTGAGAAGGTTGGGTGTTAGCTCCTTTGTAAATGTTTGATAGAGTTCACCTGTGAAGCCATCTGGTCCTGTACTCTTGTTTGTTGGAAGATTTTTAATCACAGTTTCAGTTGCATTACTTGTGACTGGTCTGTTCATATTTTCTGTTTCTTCCTGGTTCAGTCTTGGAGGGTTATACCTTTGTAAGAATTTGTCCATTTCTTCCAGGTTATCCATTTTATTGGCATGATCTTTGCTATTGTTTTCTTTGTTTCTATTTCATTTATTTCTGCTCTGGTCTTTATGATTTCTTTCCTTCTGCTAACTTTGGGTTTTGTTTGTTCTTCTTTCTCTAGTTCCTTTAGGTGTAAGGTTAGATTGTTTACTTGAGATTTTTCTTGTTTCTTGAGGTAGGCTTGTATAGCTATAAACTTCTCTCTTAGAACTGCTTTTGCTGCATCTCATAGGTTTTGGATCATTGTGTTTTCATTGTCATTTTGTCTCTAGGTATTTTTTGATTTCCTCTTTGATTTCTTTAGTGATCTCTTGGTTATTTAGTAACGTATTGTTTAGCCTCCATGTGTTTGTGTTTTTTACGTTTTTTTCCCCTGTAATTCATTTCTAATCTCATAGCGTTGGTTAGAAAAGATGGTTGATATGATTTCAATTTTCATAAATTTACTGAGGCTTGATTTGTGGCCCAAGATGTGATCTATCTTGGAGAATGTTCCGTGCGCACTTGAGAAGAAAGTGTAATCTGCTGTTTTTGGATGGAATGTCCTATAAATATCAATTAAATCTATCTGGTCTATTGTGTCATTTAAAGCTTCTGTTTCTTTATTTATTTTCATTTTGGATGATCTGTCCATTGATGTAAGTGAGGTGTTGAAGTCTCCCACTATTATTGTGTTATTGTCAATTTCCTCTTTTATAGCTATTAGCAGTTGCCTTATGTATTGAGGTGCTCCTATGTTGGGTGCATATATGTTTATAATTGTTATATCTTCTTCTTGGATTGATCCCTTGATCATTACGTAGTGTCCTTCCTTGTCTCTTGTAACATTCTTTATTTTAAAGTCTATTTTATCTGATATGATTATTGCTACTCCAGCTTTCTTTTGATTTCCATTTGCATGGAATATCTTTTTCCATCCCCTCACTTTCAGTCTGTATGTGTCCCTAGGTCTGAAGTGGGTCTCTTGTAGACAGCATATATATGGGTCTTGTTTTTGTATCCATTCAGCAAGCCTATGTCTTTTGGTTGGAGCATTTAATCCATTCACGTTTAAGGTAATTATCAATATGCATGTTCCTATTACCATTTTCTTAATTGTTTTGGGTTTGTTTTTGTAGGTCCTTTTCTTCTCTTGTGTTTCCTACTTAGAGAAGTTCCTTTAGCATTTGTTGTAGAGCTGGTTTGGTGGTGCTGAATTCTCTTAGCTTTTGCTTGTCTGTAAAGCTTTTGATTTCTGCATTGAATCTGAATGAGATCCTTGCCGGGTAGAGTAATCTTGGTTTTAGGTTCTTCCCTTTCATCACTTTAAGTATATCATGCCACTCCCTTCTGGCTTGTAGAGTTTCTGCTGAGAAATCAGCTGTTAGCCTTATGGGAGTTCCGTTGTATGTTATTTGTCGTTTTTCCCTTGCTGCTTTCAATAATTTTTCTTTGTCTTTATTTTTTGCCAGTTTGATTACTATGTGTCTTGGCATGTTTCTCCTTGTGTTTATCCTGTATGGGACTCTCTGCCCTTCCTGGACTTGGGTGGCTATTTCCTTTCCCATGTTAGGGAAGTTTTCGACTATAATCTCTTCAAATATTTTCTCTGGTCCTTTCTCTCTCTCTTCTCCTTCTGGGACCCCTATAATATGAATGTTGTTGCATTTAATGTTGTCCCAGAAGTCTCTTAGGCTGCCTTCATTTCTTTTCATTCTTTTTTCTTTATTCTGTTCCGTAGCAGTTCCATTCTGTCTTCCAGATCACTTGTCATTCTTCTGCCTCAGGTATTCTGCTATTGATTTCTTCTAGTGTAGTTTTCATTTCAGTTATTGTATTGTTCATCTCTGTTTGTTCTTTAATTCTTTTAGGTCTTTGTTAAACATTTCTTGTACCTTCTCGATGTTTGCCTCCATTGTTTTTCCAAGGTCCTGGATCATCTTCGTTATTCTGAATTCTTTTTCTGGAAGGTTGCCTATCTCCACTTCATTTAGTTGTTTTTCTGGGGTTTTATCTTGTTCCTTCATCTGGTACATAGCCCTCTTCCTTTTCATGTTGTCTGTCTTTCTGTGAATGTGGTTTTTGTTCCACAGGCTGTAGGATTATAGTTCTTCTTGCTTCTGCTCTCTGCCCACTGGTGGATGAGGCTATCTAAGAGGCTTGATGGGAGGGACTCTGTCTATTTCTTGTTTTTCAGGAGACCCAGCTTTAGTTCATTTAGCATTTCTATGATTACATAGTTGCTTATCTGTTCTTTTCCACAGAGCTGAACAACTTGATGATTTCCTATTGTTCTTTTAATTTGGGGAGTATAATTTTTCTTTGTAGCTTTAGAAAACAGAGCTAGGACCAGAAGGTGAAGGACATAGAAACATAGATTTGAATACTCAGTGTAAAGAAGACCTTTCCATTAGTTAGGTCTGTCTGATAATGGGGTGATATAAGAACTAATAGTTCATATTTCCCAACTTGCCTTGTTTAAAGGACTTAGCTGATGTCTTTTGTTGTATGTGATAGGAGGCATTAATGAATTGGAAGTAAAATTGAATTTCAAGGCCCATTCTAGTCCTGTTGTTGCAGGAAGGGATACCCCTTCCAGGGCCCAAGAGTGGGCTCTTGTCTAACACTCTGAAATGAATTGTCGGAGGAGACACCCGTGCTGACAAAGCAAGAGACTTTATTGGGAAGGGGCACCTGGGTGGAGTGTAGGAGGGTAAGGGAACCCAGGAGGACTGCTCTGCCATGTGGCTTGCAGTCTCGGTTTTTACTGTGATGAGATTAGTTTCTGGGTTGTCTCTGGCCAATCATTCTGACTCAGGGTCCTTTCTGGTGGTGCGCACAACTGCTCAGCCAAGTTAGATTCCAGCAAGGAGGATTCTGGGAGATTGGTAGGACGTGGACTGG